TACATCTATATTTATCCATATATCTATAGTCAAAATCTAAGCCTCATATTTTATCTTCACTTTACAGGTAAAGGCATTGAGATTCTAAGAGGTAATGTTTATATCTGAATCAGTCAATTGAGACTTGTTAAGTCCTACAATGGAAAAATTAATGAAAAAAAAACAACACACCCAAAACCATAATGAAAACTGGTTCATAACCCTTTAGCAGCCTCCAATTTTTTTGAAAAAATAAGGCACACACAACACAAGTAGTAAAAAAGGCACATGCAGACACACATGCATAAGCTAAGAACAAGGAATGGGGTCGTCCCTTATTTGATCCATATCCTGGAGCCTAGGACAGTCCCTGGCACATAATGTTGCTCAAAATGTACTTAATTTTCTGAGTGCTTATGAAGTGTCTGGCATTATATTAAGTGTCAGAAATACAGAGACATGTAGAACACAATCTCTAACCTCAAGAATCTCATATGGGTTGGAACTGCTATAGAAAATTTAGAGAGAGAGATGAGCCTTGGAGAAGGGAGAAGATGCAGGCATGGATAAACAAGGCAAGAAGAATGGAAATAACAATATTGCAGATGATGACAAGGGGTGAGACACTGGGTAGACTTTATCCCCTAAAGCAGAGAATTTATGTGGGAAGGAGTGAGAGAAAAGGCTGATGGATTAAATAAAATTTATCCAATAACTTGGAAAGTTAATATGTGGAACAACCAACTAACACTATTTTAATTCCGAGAATGGACTTCAGAGAAGGTATTTATGTTGCAGTTAATTTAAATAGTGGAAATAAACTAGTTGGCTCATGGCAGTGGAATGTATTATGAGGATCATTAAGGAGTTATTCCACTACATGCCATTCTGTGATTACCATAACTTTCCCCAACCATTTTCATCATCAATACAGGCCTTAGGGAAGTGCATAAAATTTATTTTATGGCAGGCATTAGGAAAAACAAAGTAGCTTTATTAGGCAGTTTCTTGGATCTTCTTAATAGTAATGATTGAATATGACAGGTATTTTAACTAATGGTGGTTCTACCAATTGTGTGAATTAAAACGTATAAAACACTGCTCTGGGGAGGCAAAAGAAGTCATTAAAGAATACTTAGCTGGGTTGGAAATGCCAGAAAGGAAATGTCCTGCTCTGGCCTGGGGAAGCTAGCTAACAGAATATAGGGAGAGGTGGGGGAGTTGCATTTCAAAGTAATATTCTTTATGATAAAACTGTTTTTAATAAGTATCATTGTATTCCCTTGTTGCAGATAGAATCCTTTAGTATATTACAATAAAATGTGTTCAAGGTAGATTATAAATGTTCTTATTTATAATATATACATAAGAATAAACAGTTTGGGAAAAAACATAGTTAAGATTCTTCCCCTTTAGTATTCTGTTTTCACAAAATAAGAAATAAATGCATCATGAGATGACCTTGAGAATTTTAGCTAGCAGCTGAGAGTAGTCTACATTTAAATCCAGCCAGGCAATTTCAAGATCTTAAACTGTCATTCCTTTGCTGGTCTTAAGTTGAAACATGTAGAGGATTTGGAGTCAGGCAGTTCTAGATTCCAATCCTAACTTTTCAATTGATTATCTGTGTGATCTTGGACACTTTGAATAACATCTCTAATCTTAAGATGCCTACATTATAAAAGCAGAATTAGAACACTTAACCACACAAAAGGTGGTTGTGACAATGAAATAAAATGCACAGGATGATGTATAAAAATTGTGTAGCACAATGCTTTGTAGCTCAAAGTAAGTGAATGGTATTAATATTTTGGTGTTACTATTATTAATTTACTGGACTAGGAATACTCTGAATTTAATGAAACTACCTATGTTTGGGTCCAAGATCAGCTACAAGTAAGGATTTTTACTCCCTCACCTAAATGGCAATGCTATGATGACAGTAATTTCCGCTTTGACTAAATCACAAGACTACACGAGCTCCAAAGTTAATGTATGTGAAAACTATAGACTGTTAAACAAATTAAAGGCTTTTTCCCTTCTAGAGTACATACCCAAAGGAAAGACACTCAAGCATAAAGTCATATGCCTCTATTTAATGCACCATGACTATCCCACTACTCTGTTAGTACAAGGGAAAAGGAAGACCTACATAGTTTTTCAGTAGTGGTGACCTATTATGAATCTAGTCTTTAAAGTTGTATTAATATGTAGTCCTACTGCTATGAAGGTTAATTTTATAAACATCTATTAGTATATAATCCACTCAATTTTAAAACTTGACCCTCTACTAAGAAAATGTGAACATAGACTATTTCTACTACAAAATTATGGAGACTAAATGTTTACTAATAACTCTCTTCAAAGATTAACATGAGAACAAACATACTTTTTAAAAATATACAAAAAACTGGGATGCAGTTAAGGAAAAGACAAAATCCATTAAATTGTTGGGCAGCATCTAATTGATTTTGGAAGAGTGTCAAGAATTAATTTTATATTTTGCATGTGAATTACACAAAAGTCTGGAATTTCTAAGGTGACAAGTGTTGCTTGTATGAGAAATTACTAAGTCCTGTCCAGAGCTCAGCGACGGATGGATGGATTGGAGGCCAGTGGAAATTATAACTCTAATTTACACTAATTTAGCCCCCATGCTTATGTTTGTACATGAACCAAGTAAAAATTATTTCTTACCATGTAGAACAGATAGAATTTAAATATTCTCCCTGACCTGTACCTGATATCTTGGGTTAGAAGAAAAGCAACTTTAGGAAATAACTATAAGGAAACTGTGAGTTGGGTTAAAATATACTTTATTTCCTTATAATTAGAATACATATTATTCCTTGTTGATGTCTTTGAACTCCCATTGGAATTCTAGACCATGAACAGGGTGTCATGGAGCTGGGGGATAGAGTCACAGTGGGCACAACTGCCAATAATGTTTAAACACTGTTATGATGGTTGGTTCAAAGTAAAAGTGGACAGATTGGAGTGCAATGATAGCTTTGGTCTTGAGATTTGAAAGCAAAAGAAGATTTAAGAATTCAAATGTGTGCCCCTACTCCCCTTATCCATACAGCTGCTTGCACAGTTCTGTGCATACATGAAATAGGATTTGATAGAAAAGGATCGTGTGACTTTTTGCTCAAATAGCAACTAACCTTCTCCCATTTCTTCCTATCTGTAGTAATTATGCTTATCTGAGCTATTTAAGTGCAAAGCCCCTTTAAAATGATAAAATGCATAATAATATATTGAAAAGAGAAAATTACTAAGGGGAGTTCAAGACAGGGGAAGCCATATATGTATATCTATGCTGAAAGGAAAAGTTTAGCTCACTTCAGAGACAATACAACTTTGCAATTATTTTTTAGAACAGTTCAAAGATCTGCTCAGTTTATATGGCTTTTGACATTGAGGATGAATGCCTAAAATATTTACAAGAGAGACTGACTGAGATTTTAGTAGGGAAAAAGATAAAAGCAGAGAATAGCAAGGATAAAGCAAATAGATACAGTATATGGAAATAAATAAGCATTGTTCCTTGGAAAACAGTTTAAAAAAATTCTCCCTCAACTAGAAAATGGGATGTTCAAGCTCTCAACTACTTAGAGTTGTAAACAGTGTGGGTGTGAGCACAGTGAAGAACAACTAGACCTGTGAGGTTTCAACAAGAGGAGTGGGTGTATAACAAATAAAAATGCAAGATTCAGCAACAGAAACAGAGGCACACATGTCCATAGCACATAGATCATGCGCTAGAGGGGAGCTAATCTGCAGTCGTGTGCACAAGGATCAAAATCAAAATAAACTATTTAACAAAACTGAAATGCTACACAAATTCTGTATAACAACATTTGCATGAAACTCCCTCCCCCCCCAAAAAAACCCCACAAAACCCAAAGTTCAGAGTGTGAAACCCACAGTCCAGAGTGTGAAAAGTGTACCCTCCCGATGAACAGGTCTCCCCTGGGAGGAAGGAGCTCCCCTGAAGGGACTGAAGGTGTAAATGGGCAGAAAGCTGAAGGTGAACAGGTCTCCCCTGGGAGGAAGGAGCTCCCCTGAAGGGACTGAAGGTGTAAATGGCCAGTGCAGACTCTGCTCCACAGAGAGGCAGGCACGTCTTCCCTGTCCACCTGCCAAGTGCAAGGAGCGAGGCTTTGGAGGGCTGGACACAGCCGCCCTCAGCAGCAGCTCCCTCAGAGCTGGCAGAAGGAGGGGCCAGCGTCATGCAAGGGCTTGAACATGACTGCCTTCTGCCTGCAGACGGGTCTGAAAACACCCACTTCCCACTTCTCCTTTCTCTGTCTGGTTTCCAATCATTTACTTAGTGTTAGATTTTTCTGGGTTTATTCTTCACAGCATGGAGAATTGAGCTCCTTTATAGAGACGATGTTGTTTAGAATATTTACTAATTTAGGTTAAAAAATGCCAAATAAGGTTCTTTAGAAAATGATGATATGTAAATAAACATTGGAACCTGATACTTTAAATGTAAATTTATATTTCAAAACAAAAGGATGATGTGTTATCAAAAAATCAAAAGGAAACTATTCAGAGTCAGAAAAAATCGTATCTGAGGTACATTTGGATTCAAGATGACAGAGACAAGTTAGCAGGTAGGAGAGGACATTCTGATATGACTTGCTGGGTACAAATGCTAGGCCATGTGCCAAAAGAATCATTTCTATAAAATGAATCCAAAGAATAAAAAAGTTATCAAGGTAAAAGGAAATTTTATAGAATTTTGTAAAGGAAATATGCTTTCTATTGCTTATATGTAATATATACATTTACAAAGAGATACATTCACATTTTGATAAATAAAATATTTTTAAATGAAGATCAAATGAAAATAAAATATTTTAAATGAATTCTATGAGCCAGTGATCATAATAATTCCCAGAAAAGAAATTTTTCAAAGAAATATGATGAATTATTACTATTAACAAAATTGTTCTTTTACTATTCTACATGGTTTACTTTCTGCTTCACATTTTCAAAAAGTTCCTTACCTGGGATGACTGTTCACCTTTTCATGTTTTCTGTTGAAGTTCAAATTACAGAGATTTTTCAATTTTAAATGTGAAGAGTCTGATTCCAAATTTGCTTGTGTTTGTTCTCTCACACATTCATGGAGTGTTGTCTCCTTTTTCAAGTTCATTTCCGAATACGGGCAGCCAAAAGCACTGGTTTGTAATAAAATGAGAGCAGTTTGCAGTGATAAATCAGTGACTGTTGTCTTTGGAACAGACCTACATCCAATATTTAAACAGTGAGTAGACATTCTCCTTTCAATGAACACACTGAAATAAGTTTCGTTTCATATTGTCCCTGGATAATATTTTTAGATTCTAGACACTGGTCAGCTGGTATTCTAGATAGATTCATCAGAATATATGATTTTTACAATTTGGGAAGCTTAAAAATCTAAGAACAACATAAATATGTGCTCCTAATGGAGCGATGAAAATATTATAGAAACACGACTCAAAGTTCCCTCCAATAATTAAGCCCTGATTTGACTATTTATATAAAAAAATATTATGGTTAACTAAAATATTTACCAGTATCAGAGAATATTATGCTTTTGCTTCTTAACATTTATATATCCAGGAATACTATATCTGTATTTGGCTTAATCCTCCTGAAACTTGCTATGAAGTTATGGGTTTGAATGGGAAGGGGCACCTGTAGGTGAAAAAGGAGAGACTACAGTTAAGGCTGAACCTTGAATGCTGGATGTGGTTGGAGCCTAATGTCAGGCGTGGGCAGGAGGATTGGCCAGGACAAATGATCTGGCTCTTTCAATGGGCTGACTGACTGTCGCTGTTAGACTTCTGTGTGCACACGCCTGTCTCCAAAGAGGCCCCAAACCTCTGCTGCTGTTAGGAATGGGGCAGCCACAGTCAGTGAAAGCACAGGTGCGACAGAGGTCACCGGCACACAACCCTGGGAAAACGTGCCGTGCTGGGGCTTCAGGCTTCGTTTCTCTCCAGTGAAATGAAATTGAATTCAACTTATTATGGCTACTGTGACCATCAATATCTCTCTCTCTCTCTCTCTCTCTCTCTCTCTCTCTCTCTCACACACACACACACACACACACACACACACACATATACCACACACACACGCACACATGCACACACACATCATTACATGGCAGCTGCTATCATTACAGTGTTATCCACATCTAGAAAAGCACATAGTCAAATGCATTAATATTTAGGCAGTTGGTTCCTTTATAGAAATTCATTTCCTATTTACTGCAAATTTGCTGATACATGCTGAATAAATTCTTTCTGAATATGTGAAAGCTTTCTTTTGTAATTTTAAGATCATGATAAAACCAAGAACAAATGCAGTTTTTCCTCTATTTTAAAGTAGACTGAGTTTCCCAGGGAGGGCCTATAATCAGTCTAGCCTCAGAGGGTTTGTAGTACCAACCTACATCTGGAATTTGTGATGGAATGGTTAGGATGACACCAGCCGAGCCCAACATGTTTGGGAAAATCTGTACTGACATCAGGGTGGATCAGCAGCCTGTGCTACAGATAGAACTGTCTCTTTATATGCATTTTCTATACTTTTTAATAACTGTCATTGATTTATTAGTTTATTCATTCATTGATTCAACAACCCATTAAATGAGCATCTGCTACATGATAAGCAATTTAGAAAATATAAATCTAGTAAAGCTAAGACATATATACCAGTGAATACAACTTATAATAAGAACAAAATAGCTACTCTTATTGAGTGTATACTATACGCCCATTACAATTCAAGGTGTTTTACATACATTATTTTAAAAACTTATTACTAAATACCCAAAGATAGTATTAGTATTACTTATTTTACAGGTGAGAAAACAGGCTCACATAGGATAAGCAGCTTTCCTAAAGATGCCTGACACTTTCTTGGGAAGCTCCAATATTGATCACTTAATCTTTAGCACCGATCAGGTGAGCAGAAGCAGGACAAGGTTTTGAACACCACCAAAAAAGGAAAAGGCACAGGAAAGAAACTGCCATGATTCTCACAGGAAGAGTAGCAGAGGCAGGTGTTTTCCGGGAAAAGCAAGTACTGGGTTAGCCACGGCTCATGGCTAGGGGACAAATGCCAGCATATGCCGTCCTCGTGAGGAGTGGAGATGTGATAAAGTACTATTTCCAGGGACAGAAGGGCAGGCGTGATCTCTTTAAGCTGCAGCACACAAGACTTAAGGAGAGTTTAGAAAAAACTTTCTGCAGTAGAAGGTGAAAGACTAACCTAAGGGAGATTGGGAAATGTTTATTTCAGTCACAGCTGAGCTTTCATTAAGATACTATTATTCACAAGCTTTGCTGTTCATGTGACATATACTCTTAATTTGAGATTTTTTTAATGACCATTATTGTGAATTTTTAAAATTTCAGATCATCACCCCTCCATGATTTGTGCTGCATGGCATTAATGCTATCTCTTCCTAAGACTTATTTGTCCATAGTGCAGAGTGCTACCATAGACCCTCTTGCTCAGAACTTGCTTAAGTTGAGAGAACTTTTGTTTCCCTTGATCTTTATTCATAAATCAGCTCCTTTGGTCATTTAATCATACACCTATTTCCTAATTTCCTTCTAGCCCCTCTTCATCACTTGGGCACTAAGGTATGAAAACTAGATGGAACTCCCCGAGTGTCATTAGAACAGAATATTTCCTGACTCTGGGAGGCAAGGTGTGTGAGAACATATCTCCAGATTATATGAATCAGAATAAAGCATAAAGTTCAAAAGAACATATTAAATGACAAAAATATACTTTTCAGAAGAAGTGCTGGAGAACTTAAAAGAAGATAATGATGGGATACCACCAAAGAACGTACAAAAGAAGCGGGGATGAGGGGCTTTCAGGTATAAGGTCAGGTTTCCAGCTGGTCACTGTGAACAGTTTCTGTTCTGCAACCCGGGGCTTACCTGCATTCTCTGCAGGGGGCAGCTGTGGTAAAGAGAGCATTGCAAGCGCTGGCCTGACTGTCCAAATGCAGACCTTTACTCATGTGTATGCGCATGTGCCCATGCATGGGAGAGCGTGCATGATTCTGTGTAAATCTACATACAGAAAAAAAACACAATTGAAGTGATATTCCTAGGTATGATAAAACCATTTAAAATTTACTTTTAATTTAGTCAAATATTGAGGGAATGGTCTGAAGACATACTGTCATTAGAAAATTGTTGACATAAGCTGAAATGTCTATGACCAAAAGCTCTGTTGGTCAAGGTAAAATGTCAGTTTCTGACTGAGAAGGATACAGTATATTCAAATTGCACTCATTATAGCTGGAGACAAGCACATGTAAACGCTGCGGGCTGAAGTCCTGAGCAGCAAGGGCCTGTGGGAGACACGGTTCTTCAGACTGAGCAGACCATTTCCCCTCTCTCCTCACTCCCGTTATTTGTAGTTTTAGGGAGAGAAAGACAGCAGGAACTGTTAAGTTGACCCATAGGAAACTGCAGTCTTAAAAAGTCAGATAGTCAAATATCAGGAATTTCATATGATTCAACTGAGTAATTTATTAAAAAGTGTCTGCTCCACGCTCATCAACAGCAAGGCAGCAAAACAGAAGGTAAATGCTGAACAAGCAAAAAGCTGCTAGACAGTTGCAAACTTTTAAAAGAGGTTTTTCGACGGATCTAAAACTGAGATCCTAGTTGTCCTCTTACTTTGTAAGAAGGGGAAACATAACAATGACTGCAATGAAAATGCTGGTTTTGCTTTTCAGGATATTTAAGTATAATTTTTAACATTTGAGGATAAATGTAAAAGTAAACTATCAGTATATTCTTTTCCTTAATAAACTGCCCTGTACTCCTTTCCTTTGAAGTGAGCGTTCCTGACTGATGCTCCACATTCTAGTTATAATGAGGTTGGGGGAGGCAGCGGCATGAACAGGCGATGCTGAATCCCCACTTTTTGTGGCAGGCCCAGCCTCTGATTTCCCATTTCTTCCTTTTAGGGCAGGTGTGCCTGACTCTACAGGTTGGTGCAGTTTCCCCATATTCCCAGGACCAATCCTGATCTGAGGCTGGAGCTAAGTTGCTAAACCCACTTGTTCTTCTAAAGTCCGAAGGTCCAAACCTGAAGTAGGACCCAGTTTTGATACCTGTGCTCATGCCTTTTTCATGGGACCTACTCAGCATCATTGGCTCCAGGTCCCCTAGCTTGGCATCTGCCTTGGTCCTTGTTCCTAAATGCCTTGTTTGCTGTCATGACTAGAATTTGGGGCCTTGCTAGGACTTATTTGTGTTCCTACTTTATTCTTGCCAGCCCCTTCCCATGATGAGACCTCCTAATCAATCCCAACCTAGGAAGCAGGGGTCCATTTCCCAGATATAACCTGGTCAGTCTGCCAGGTGCTTCTCCCCCTGAATTACTCTCTATTATTGCACTTTCCCCACTAATGGGGACCCCTTCCATCTTCTTGGATTCTTCTAATCTGGCCAAACCCCCTTGCCACCAGATTCTGCACATACAACTATATTATCATCTTGTATCAATAATGTGTTCATTTTCTGATACCCAAGCAGCAAGTTTGGTTCCTACTTCCCTCTAACAGCCCTGTTCTACTGAAAATAATGAGCTATGTCTGTCAAATCCGAAGAGATGGACAGTTTGGACCCAGAAGTTATAACTCAGTTGTCACAACATACCTTATGCTAACTTCCCAATCAGTTTGCAGCTACCTTCAGGGTGATCAGGAGAGGTCTGGGCACCAAGTCCTAGGCCAATCCTTCCAGTCTGAGCAGCCCCTCCAGGGTCAAATCCTTTCTTGTTCCCAAGTACTGATTATCATTTTTCTCTCTGTGACATGACTTCAGAAGGTTAGGAAGCATTACAAATTTAAGCAGAATGGCAAAGATGAAACAGTCCTTTGAGTGCTGTGCTTCAAAATATAAATAAATAAAAATAAAAAAACAGAGGTCGGCAGTATTTCAGGAAGAGTTTCAAGTTGTTGACAACCTTTCTCCTCATCCTGAAAAGTGAAATCACACAAAATAGGCAAGTGGGCCCCAAAAGGAGCCCTGATCTAGAATAGGTCCTCATACAGCCTGAAGTTGGGAGTATAGTTAGACTCTGAGTTCTTCTCTGATGCAACTAATTCACCCTTGATGAAGCCTATTGTATTTTATATTTTAGTCTCAAA